TCTAATTATACTTTGATTGCAATTCAGGAATAAAATTTTCTGAACAGTTTCGCCTTTGAGATTACAACGCCTAACAGAAACCGGAGAGGCGGTTTTGAAAAAATTCTTTCTGATGGTACTGAAGTGGCCACAATGCATAAATATTTCTTTGCTAACTTGGAAAGCCTTGGATAAACTAATTCACGGTTCTTCCAGTATTCCAGAGGGTTTTCTTTCCTGTCTAAAGGTGAATCTTCAATATACATTCTGATTTCAATTATTGCTTGAGAGAGAGGTGTCTGAGCTATTGTTACCTTGGATTATTTGTCAAACACTTTCCATACTAGATCATCTTCATCCGAGTTGCTCTGATTGGTTTGTCTTATCTGTTCTACTGCCACATTCTCCTTTTCAGTCTCATGTCTTTGCTTATTAATTAAGCCAACTACTTCTTCCTGAATCTTATCTTTAATTCTCTTAAAATATTCCTAAGAACTGAAAGCTCGGTTTTTAAACCTGGGATCTAAAAACGCGGATTTTGCCATTGTATTGTTGAGTTCTATTTTCCCAAATCTAGTTGCCATTGATTGTTGTAAGTTCATAAGCATATTTTTGCATTCTGGTTGGGTCCCTGTTTCATTACTTTTTTGTAATACAGAATTTAAACCTCTGTCACTGTCGTTTCAGCACTCATTTCGCTGGTAACTTGCTCGTAGGGTCTAAGTATTTGACAGGCTTCTTTTAGTATTAACCATTCGGGTTGAGATAGCATTTCTATAGGGTTGTGTAGCAAGCCAATAGTGGCTGTTAGTGGTTCTTCGACCTTTAATACACGCTCAAACATGTAAAAAGTCGAATTCCATCCGGTCGGTACATCATTTTTCAGCTTAAGTGGCACAGAGTCGGGATTGATTTGTTTTTGAATGGAAAAAAAATTTGAATTTGCTTGAGTACTTCGGTGAAAATGTTCTACTATAGTTTTAATTTTTTTACGAGTTTGATCTATTTCTTTTAGGCAATCCTGAACCACTAGATTTAGGGTGTGAGCAATACATGGTATATGACTCCATCCAATCATTGTAATGGAGCTCACTACATTAGCCGCATTATCAGTACTAACAGCAAAAATTTTATGAGTTATTCCCCATTCAATTGCAACTCGTTGCATTTCTTCGGATACATTTTTTGCTGTGTGACTTTTTTCATAAGGAAAGCAATCGAGTAAACAAGAATGAAAATTCCAATTTTTTGTTATGAAATGAGCTGTTACTGAAATATAACTTTCATTGGCCCTTGATGTCCAGCCGTCTGTAGTTGCGGTCACAAATTCAGCTGAATGTAATAATTCATGTAATGTTTGTTTAACAGTTTCATATCTCTTAGGTAATAAAGATTGAGTGAATGTTTGACGAGAAGGAATTTTATATGAAGGCTCTAGTTCTAGAATTAATTTTCGAAAGCCAGAGTCATCGACTATTGGAAATGGTTGTAAGTCGTTTACAATCATATTTAGGACTAAACTATTTATCTTTTCTTGCCTTGGCAGACATATTGGTTTCGTTACGAAACTTGATAAGGAAGCTTGATGTTTCTTTCGCTGTGCTGTTCGAGTTATTGTGACCTCTTTTGCATTATCCTGGTTTGATGATTGAGGATTTGTAGATGTTATACTACTAGTCGACGCTGCCGGTGTGGAATCTGTGCATACTGAGGCAGAGGAGTTTTCTGAAAACCATAATCAAGTTATGTATAGAGTCACTATAAAATAATAACTTACCATTAATTGCTTGTAACTGATTAGTTGATGCATTTGAAGTAAGTCTAAAAGCAGATTTATTGAGGCCAATTTCAAGTGTTGGGTGTTTACTAATAAGATGTTTCTTTAAATTAGATGTTGTTCCTCCTTTATATGAATAACTATTACTGCATAAATTGCACTTTGCCCTCTCATTGGACAATGTAGTGAAATGATACCAAATTTCACTTTTTTTCCGATTTCCAGACATGCTTAAATAAATGGAAAGTACATGTTAATATCACAGATTAAACATAGAAAAAATTATATTTCTTTAGAAGAAGTATTCGAGTATTCCGAACTTAATCAGCTCATTCTGAGGCACTTACCTGGCAAAATATTCTATTCCATTTTAAAACTAATAGGTTTAGGTCGTTTAGGACGTTTAGGTTTTAGGTTATGGTTATTATTTACAATAATAAAGTAACAGGAAAACACAACAAAACATCGCGTTTCCGATTGGTACATTTAGTGCGCACTAAGCGTATTTGCATCATTTTCTATCAGCCTGTGAAAGATAGTGATAGAAATATATCTTTCATTCGACTACCTTGCCTTGCTATTGCACTCACTCTAAAGTATTTTCGAAACAAACAAGGCGGTGCAACTGCACCGTAGACCGTAAATAGGACGGGGCATGGCAACCCGCACACAAATTATTGCCCTGCCCTCGCTCCGTTCGGTTAGACGAACTCAATTCTCGAACAAATTTTTTTGCGCACTGCACTTTCAAAATGCGAGCTTGGTGCGCAATGCGCATAGAGAATTTCGATTCGAGTACTCGAATAACTATAGCGCCGGCGATTATTGTATTCGTTATTTCGGATCCGGGCCAGTAACGAGTACTCTCGAGTAACGAATAGTTACTTTTCTGACACCTCTATCTTGGATTTTTCCTATCTAAAAAAATAATTTTTCAAAATAGTGACATATTTTTTGTCCTACTCCTAGAAACCTCTTCTAATGTATACTACTACACTATTTCCAAATCCAAGCGGCAGTAAATGACAAACTGGTCATTTTCATTACAACCTATATGTCCTCCTTACATGGGCACTGGTCCAGGTAGGGCGTTTCAACCAATAGGAAGGCTGGTCTTTGTTTACAATTTAGGTTATTAAATGTCATTTACTGCCGCTTGGATTTGGAAATGGTGTAGGTATGCATCTACTACCACCTACTGATGTATGGAGTTCAAAAGTAATAACGATAATAATTACCTATTAGTAGATACTATCTACTACTGAATTGTTTTTCAAAATTTATAAATCTCTTTCAAATAATGGTTATCGTAATTGAATAAAATAATTACGAAAATTTTAAGTGGGTAGTTAAATACCTATAAAACATTTTATAGCTCTATTATATTGAAAGTTATTAATTTTTCTTTATTGCACAATAATTCACCCACTGGATACAAATCATACCATTGTATTAGGTATTATCAGTTGGCAACATGAAATTGAATACATTATTTCTTTTTTTATGTGTTTTTGCTGCTGGAAGTGCTGCAGATAGATATTATCCAACAATTGAAACAGGTGAGTAGGTACGAGTTATTGGTTATAAATATCACCCCCCTCTATCTTTTTTATTTGACATTTTAGAAAAAAGTGTCCCAAATAAAAAATTTATGATTGAAATTAAATTTTTTGAAAAACTCACTTTTGCATATACAGGGTATTTCAAAAAAGCTGGTCGTGCTCCAAGTTTCCTATTTTAAATTGAATACCCTGTATATTATTCAATATTCGGATTCTACGTCAAATTCTGAGCAGATTTCATGTGATATACCCTATACCTTGTAGCATCTTTAGATTTCTGCTCTAAAAACACTACTGTTATTGGGTTAATGTTTCTGTGTTGTCGGTTGTAGATTTTGGCCATTCGGACAGTTTCCTACGAGGAATTTATTAGTACAAACTTATCAAACTTTTGTGATGTGATACTACTTCCATATTTTCATTATAATCCATACTCTATTATAACGAATTTCTATTCTATTTTACTACATGTCGCTGTAGGCTTCGGTTGCCCAAGTTCTTTGTGGATCCTAATTTCGAACATAGTATTTTGTCTTATATATCTTCTCACTAGTTCTTTTTTATGGGTGGATTGACGGCCGCTTTCTATCTGTATTCAAGATCTAAAATATAAAAGGAATAGACTTAGGGTAGCTTGGGTCCAGTGCATATTTGGCTAAGACGTTCTCTCGTTGATTCTGGCTTACCTTATGACTATGAGCTATCTTGTACTACAGTGTCCCCTAGTTTTTGTAGTGTCCCTCATTGATAAATGTTTGTTTTTATCCTGATTTTTCCGAGTGCGAAAATTCATTATTTTCTTTTCTAAGTTTAGGTTATTTGTTTACCTTTTTTGACATATCGAATTTGCACATCTGTTCTTCTTTTTTGGGGTACGTTGACATTTTCTTCTGGGCGTTTTCGGAAGGTTATTTCTTCGCTCTAACCAAGTTCCAAGGTGGCTCGGTACAGCTCGAATGAAAGGACCGGTTAGTGGGGAATTCGGGAACACACCTGTGCTGCCATCTGTCAAGTTTTCATCCCTTCTCGAATTTACGAATTTTGTGTTTCCGGAAGGAAGCAGGAAATCTTCCTCGTGGGCCCTTTTCTCTTTCCTGCTGGCAATGGCGAAAGCAAGTCACGATTTTAGCTGAGCAAATTGAGCCGTGCCTTTGAAACCTTATCAAAAGATAATTTGATATTTTGTTTGGGCTCTTCATAGACACGACTTTGTCTTGAGGAAGTGCTAAGTTATTTTCTTTCTAAAACGATTTTCTTGTTCCGAACATGTGCTCTCCTATTTTCAAGGTACGAAATTTAGTTGGTTCCCTCTGAGAAGGATTCGTCTACACCTATTCCGTTTTGTAACCCTCGTTGAGGTAAGATTTATTCATATTTTAAAGACTTATGGGCGTTTGCACCGACCATGTTAAGGGAGGTTTAACGATAATCAACGTTTATTGTGACATTTTTTCATGTGAAAATGTCACTCTTGTTGTGTATTTCCACTGATACTCTTGGGTTCATTATAATAGGTTTTTATTAGGAAGAGACATACAATTTAAGTTACAATCTTGACACACACTGGTTGACAACAACCTCTTGTCACCAGTCCAATCTATCTAAAAACTAGCTAGTGTTTCTATTATCTAACATTTCTCTACCCTTAAACAAAATAAAAATATTATTAACAAAACAAAATCCTATTCTAAATATTTAGCTGGCTTTTTAATTTCTCGGTTTGATCTTCGCAATGCTGAAAATTCACTATCATCTTGTCTAGGAGGAGAAGACATTTTTTCTGAGCTCGTATTTATTTTCAGTTTCGTCGCACTATTTTTTTCATCACAATTCGAGGTTTGCACTGACACAATCGGGGGGTTTGACATATTTGGAATTTCTGACACATCTGAACTTAAATTTAAATTTGCTTGTTCAGGTGGAACATTTAATGGTTTGTATAAAATTGGAATGTGAGTTTCTTCAGAAGACTCAATTTCATTATTTATATGACATTTTCTTAAATGATCCACATGCACATATCTAGCATGATCTCCTACCATCACAATATATGTTACCGAACTAGCTTTAACTTTAACAGTACCATAACTCCACTTTTCCTGTTCACCCCTAACGTTTTTTACATAAACCTTTTCACCTTCTTCAAAAGTAATATATTTAGACAAACTGGTATCGTTATTTTTTTTTTCCAAAAATTGAGTTTGTTTATCTTGAACATATTTATTGAAAGTAGGTTTCAACATTGAAATTCTAGTTTTCGGTTTCTGTTTTAACATTAATTCAGCAGGTGAAATTTGAGTGAGACTGTGAGGAATGTTTCTATAATAAAACAAAAAATTATCTAATTTTTCTTGATTTGACTTTTTGGATGTATTAATATCAAATTTCTGTTTTGAAAGATTATTTTTAAAAGTTTGAATACTCCTCTCAGTGATCCCATTGGATTTGGGATATATTGGTGGTGACTTTATAACTCTAATTCCATTTGCTTTACAAAATGACTCAAATTCCCCTGAATTGAATGGAGGTCCATTATCAGAATGTATTTCATCTGGCAAACCAAATATTGAAAAAGTTTGTCTCAAACATGAAATAATATCACTGGCTGTAGTGGTTTTAAGAATCCATGCATCAACCCACTTACTACTGGCATCAATCAAAACAAGAAATTTAACATCATTTTTCATAGCAAGATCTAAATGCAAACGTTGCCATTTTCTAGGGCACCATGACCATGATGTCATAGGAGCGTCTGATACATTACTAGCCATTAATTGACAGCACTCACACATTTTCACTAAATTTTCAATCTCGCTATTAATATTTGGCCAATAGACATATTGACGAGCCAACATTTTCATTTTGACTATTCCAGGATGTTGTTCATGCAGTAAATGCAAAACATGTACTCTTAAATGAGTTGTAACACAAAATTAATCACTTGTCTCAAAACTATATCTCTTATAGACTCTCGTGCAATATCTTTAGAGGACAATGGTGTACTATTTACCACAGAAAAATAATTAACAGATTCACCACTTTTTGATTCTTTCAATGGAAGTCTAGAAAATGCATCAGCATTTTGAATATTTTTACCCTCACGGTACCTTATAGTGTAATCATAAATTGACAAAGCAACAGCCCAACGCTGCGATCTAGCAGCTGCTAACGCTGGTAAATTCTTATTTGGTGATAAAATGCTCTGTAGAGGCTTATGGTCATTGAATAATGTAAAATGTCGACCAAATAAATAATTGTGGAACTTTTTAACACCAAAAATGATCGATAATGCCTCTTTATCGAGTTGGCTGTAATTCTGTTCAGATTTAGATAATGTTGCTGATGCATACATAACAGGTCTCTCACTCCCATCAGGCAAAACGTGTGCTAAAACGGCACCCACACCATAATTTGATGCATCGCATGACAGAATTATAGGGATCTCTGGATTAAAGGTCATTAAAATTGTTGAAGATGTCAAAAACAACTTACTCTGTTCAAAACATTGATCAACTGTATCATTCCAAAGCCAAGAAATATCCTTTCTCAAAAGTTTATATAAAGGAGCTACTCGATCTGCCAACATAGGAATAAATTTTGAATAATAATGCAACAACCCCAAATACGATTGTAATTGTTGTTTATTTTCTGGTTTTGGAGCTTTTAGAATAGCATCTAATTTACTCACTGAAGGCTCCACCCCTTTTCCTGATAAGGTATGTCCCAAAAATTCAACTTTCTCAACAAAAAATCTGCTTTTTTTCCAATTTATTCCTACGTTATACTGTTTAAATCTATCTAAAACTTTTTTTAACACTTCATACATTTCATTGGTCGATTCAGCTGATATCAAACAATCATCAAGATAACAATGAACGCCCTCAACATCTTTCAAAATCTGATCAATCACTGATTGAAAAATGTGTGGAGCTGACTTAATTCCAAAAGCCAAACGAGTATATGCATATAACCCTAGAGGTGTATTGACAACTAACAATTTTTTACTTTCATCACTCACTTTTAATTGTAAATATGCATTCTTTAAATCAATAACTGAAAATATCTTACCTCCAGACAGTGATGCAAATATCTCATCAGTAGTTGGCAATGGATAATACTGATTTTCAATGCAAGGGTTGATTGTTGACTTAAAATCACCACAAATACGTATATTACCATCTGGTTTTGGTACTACAACAATTGGACCCGCCCACTCAGTTGTGGTAATAGGTACAAGAATACCCTCTTCGACCAATTTATTTATTTCAGCTTCGACGTTGTGTTTTAAAGCATATGGAATTCTGTAAGGTTTACAAAACTTGGGAAGAGCATTTTCTTTTACACCTATGTTAACTACATAATTTTTTATGCAACCTGGTTTGGATAAAATACTTGAATCGTTTTGCTTTAAGCTATTCACTATGTTTACGAATGGCTGCTGACTTATCACATTATTAACCAAAATTTGTGGTTCATCTTTGCCTAAAATTTTATTTTTCCAATTTGGTACTAAGACATCTAACCAATATCTACCCAACAAACAAATTTTACTATCATAATCTACCACTTTTATTTCCAAGTAATGGTCAATGTTTATCTGTTATGTTATAGGTTTATCTCTAACAAGTTTCGAGAAAAAAAATTATTTCGGTTTTTGTCATAAGAAACAATGTGTTGGAAAGAGACCTTTGTCAGTTTCCTTTCAGATGTAAAGTCTTTTTCTTACACATTGCTTCTTATGACAAAAACCGAAATAATTTTTTTTCTCGAAACTTGTTAGAGATAAACCATTCGAACTTTATATCATTGAAATCAGAAAAAGCAGAGCTTTCTAATGAGCTATTAATATACATATAGGGTAACCTATTGAAAAAAAACAGACTTTGGTCAATATTTCGGAGTTGGGACCAACTAGAAAAAGACTGAGAACGTCACTAAATTCTGATTGAAAAAGTGCTTCTAGAAAGTTTTTCACGGAAATCAATAATTTTCATAAACAAAAAAGTTATGATGGTTTCACAATATTGCTCAAAATTGAGAATCGCCCTCTAGCGGCTAAACGGTTGAAGATATCAAAATGCGGTTCGCACCAATCAAAATTTCATGAAATCTGGACCTCAGAGTGGGGGGTTCATTTTTTTGTATCTCGTTCAGAAATTGATGTTTCCTATTAAAAGTATCCAAATTGGCCCACCCTGTACTTACCCTTTTTAACATTTCAGATAGTAGGATATTTAAAAATGAAAACTTAAATAAATACTGGATGCTTCATCCTGGAATTGTCAACTTGATAATAAAAATAATATAATAATATGATAATATAATAATATAATAATATATTACGAATTTTTTTTACAGATCACTTACAGTAAATTATGTTCAATTTTTTTTACATATTTTATACTTAGAAAGTTTGTACTGCATCTAGATGACTTAACATCTGTATGTGCAGGTTACATAGCTTATAGATGTCATAGCTGAGGTAAAGTCCGACAAATACCATTTTAAAGTCACGTGATATTGGTGGCAAAAAACGTATGTTCATTGATTATGTCGTTGATATCACCTACAAAAAGCTACTGGTGGTTAATTACTATTGAATTTTAGGATATGTTCCTACTAGCATTTTACAAACGCGTTTCTGAAGTAGTATTGACCAATCAGATGGGAATTTTAATACTTGCAATTGTTGAGAGACTCACTTTTGTCACATCTGCTGTCTGTTGTAATACATTCTGAACTTGAATTGGGTACCCGTTTTCTATTTGCTTCTTTTCGAGTTGGAAAAAGGTTAATATAGTTAAAATTATAAGCTATGTTTGTTCGTTGTATCATTTTCGAAAATAACTTTGACAAACTAATTGATGACAGTGACGGATTCTATTCCAGGTAAGAATATTATGAACAATAATTAAACACCAATTTTTTTGTCAATTTTACTATCACCGCTGTTTAAGATGTATTCAACAAGGATAAAGAAAAATCACGTGACTTTAAAAAGGTATTTGTTGGACTATAATACTCAAAATAAAGCTGTGACAAAACTATGTGGCAACGGTAATTTGCTACAATTTTTAACTAACTACTAACTTACTTTAATGCAGTAGGAGAAATATCAGGATTTTTTTTAGATTTGCGATTATAAATTTTAAACAGTCTTATTAAAACTTAAATGTATTGCTCAATAATTTAATACTGTTTGGAACCATATTAGAGAATTTAGGAGCCAAGTAGCTCACGGATCTCTTTATAAAACTGGTACTGCAGCCAGGAATAACATAACAATTTGTCCTGTTTCTCGTATTATGTGGGTGATTTACAATGGAAACAATGTCAGGGTTTTCATAGACAAACAGGCACACCGCACCGCAAGTATGTAAAGGGATCGAACATTGGGTATTTCCTCGGAGTATAAAAGAGATGTGGAATACATTTTAGATTATTTGTTTTTCATAACTTTAAGGATATAGTTTTTGAACAATGTTCAATTGTCTAAGTGAATAATCATACAAGCCACCCCAAACAAGCAATCCATATCTAAGCAATGACTCAACTGTCGCTTTATAGACAGTTATCAACAATTTTTTGGGCAAAATATTTCTCAAAATATAAAACTTATATATAAGTCTACGGATATTATTGCTTAGACGTTCAACATGTTTATCCCATTTAAGGTGGTTATCATCAGGACACACTCCACCTTCCCAATGTCTTTGTTACCCAACTGAAGGGTGGTAAACGGCGGGCGATTGACAGAAGTGAGGGAAAACGCCATGTAATTGGTTTTTGTAATGTTCAGAGTCAGCTTAAAGGTTTGCAACCAGTTTGCAATATGAAGGAGACCATCTTCTGCTATTTCTTTGACGCTTTGCCAGGTGGACCCTTTGAAGAGAATTGCCGTATCATCGGCATAAGAAATTACACTACCCCTATTTATATTAATTGAAGCTAGGGAGTTTATATAAACTCTGAATAGTAACGGTCCAAGTACCGTACCCTGTGGTACCTATGCCAATCTGCACATTCAAAGTGTCACTGAAGA